TATGAACTGGCAGCCTCTGGACTAGTTCAATACAAGTGCCACATTTTTTTCTTTACAGTACTAACAATATATAATATTGCTTGTTCTGGAAGGTTGCTCAGCATGGAAATAGAGCACAAGTGATACATACATGAGAATGTGAAAATCTGCCATCTTTATCCCATCAATATTTGCTGATGGATCTTCCCTCGAATAATTAAAACAAACGAAAGATAAATTCAAAAAGTCATACTTTTTACACAGAATTTTGCCTTTAAAAAAGGTCAGTCATTTGTGAAGAAGCTTTACAGAATATTATTTCACAAAATCTTAGATGTGAAAGGGAACCTAGAGATTACTCAATCCAATCACTTCATATTTAAGTTTAAAAAATGGAATTCTATGAAGGATCACAGAGCTACCCAATTAGTAGCAAGACCAAGCATAGGACCCCCAATTTCCTGACTCAAAGTCCAGTCTTTACTATTTTATGATTAATTACTTTTGTTTCAGATGTTTATCTCAAAAGTAGATTGTACGAATTCAGAAATGTAAGATACTTCTTATTCTGTGAGAATCAAAGTCTGACATTAGTGGGAATTCCAAGTAATAACTGCTTTCCTGCCGAATTGGGACCTAAATTTACTGGTGCCTTCTGAGTAAAACAACAAATCAACACTAAATGCCGTTACAGCTTTGTGCCGTTCTAGCCTTATCCTTGATCACATCTCATAAAACGGAAAAGGGGTGAAGGGTTCAGAGTGAGCTTTGGGATCCAAGTCTCTAACCTCTTTGACTCTGTCTCTGAAATTAAAATGTGAAAAATTTATAGTTTAGTTAATAGTAATGTACCAATGTTAGTTTTATAGTTTTTACAAATGTGCTGTGATAACATAAGATATCAGCACTGGAGGAAACTAGCGAAAGATGTGGGCTCTACGGGTGCTGTCTGTACACTTCGAACTTTTGTGTAAATCTAAAATTATCTCATAACAAAAAGTGTTTTTAAAGCAAAACAACAACAAAAACACCCCAAAAATTATAGTCATGGGCACTAGATTAACCTTGAAGCACAGAGATAGATATGTAAGTATGTTTCTTTTCAATGATGTTTGTAATCAATGCTATGAAGTATAGATATTTTAAGAGCAATAGAGATGAAATCTCAAGCTTTTCTCTGATATTTGCTCTTATTCAGTATTTGTAACAGTAATAAATACTTCACCAATAACCATCCCACTCCATCTCCCTTTACACAGACATAAAGACACACACACAGTCAGACTTCTGAAACTTATCCTGATATTTCTCAGTCACTTCTGCAGCTGAGTAGTCCCATGCTTCAGGCCCTTGCTTAGGAGGCTGAAGAGGGTGGAGAAGCTCCCATGTTGTGCCCCATCATAATCATTTTCTTCCAATGCTCTGCCTCTCCCAGCAAACCACCTGTCACCTTTTACATCAAACATCACAGTGCTTTTCCACCTCTCATTCTAATGAAGTCCACGAGGTTGATTAAGTGGACCTTCAGAATTGTGGAGAGAGGGGAAGCAAATGTTAGTAAGAGTATTTTTAAATTCTTGGAATTTGCATTTGATACTTCTTAATTACTGTTAAAGTAATATCCAGATTCTAAATACCAAGGCATACTATGTTTATATTGTAGACTGCATTTGGATAATTCTATTTTCTCTGGTATGTGGTTATGCTTTTGGGACACATTTTCCCACTAAAGTGGGAAGTGCAAACTTATTTAATAATGATCTCAACATAGCACAATTTAAAATGATAATTTGAAATGATATTTTGTACAGCATCACGAGATAACTATACAAATGAACTCTTGTAAGGTTAATAATGTATTTAAAGCTTGAAAACTGCTAAGAATAAATCTTAAATGTTCTCACCACACACAAAAAAAGATAATGTGAGTTGATGGATATGTTACTGGGCTTGATTGTGGTAATCATTTCATAACGTATATGTATATCAAAACATCATGTTGTATACTATAAATATATACGATTTTTATTTATCAATTATACTTCAATAAAACTGAAGAAAAAAGAATCAAAATATGCCCAAAAGACAACTGGAGGAAAAAAAATACAGCAAAATGATTACCTCTGGGTTAAAATTCTGATAATGCCACTTTGAACAGGTTATTTAATGTCCCTGAGGCGTATTTTTCACATCTTTAAAATAGAGATAACAATTCCTAACTCTTTGTGATTATTAATGAAATAATGAACCAAAATGTGGACTGTAATTGTACCTATTCCATAGGGTTAGTGCACGTAAATGAGATGGGATGTACCATTTTAGCAGAGTATCTAGAGCACAGGCAGCAGTTAGTAAAATGTTGACCATGTACTAACCTGCTAACAAGGAAACCCTCACATGGGCCCCAATCTTGCTGCTAGCTAACTTCTTTTACAACATGGCTCATTCATACCAAATTAAGTAGAACACCATTTTGAATTATAGGTGTGATTAAGTACTTGCTGATTATTTTTCCCCTTTCTCGCCACACACATAGCAAACATCTAAATCTGATTTAACAAGCTCATCTTTTACTGGGTGGTTTTTCATATTACTGAAGTATTTTATATAACCACAGAGATTCTCCGTAGGTTTTCCGTAAATAACATGCTCACATTCCTTATATTAAACCTAAAACATGTTAATTTACTATATGCTAACATAAATCAGAGTTTTTAGGAACACATCTGTTGTATAAAACAGATGACCCCTGTACACATTGTGAATGCACACATATAAATAGTAAACCAAAGTATACTGTTGTAGGAAATCTAAAGAGTAAAATAATAAACTCCTGTTTAGAGTTAAAAGTATGTAATTAAGCAAAATACTGGGTCCATGGTAAGTATGCAATGAAAAATACACCGACTGAATTATCACGCTAATGATAAACTCCTCTAGGAATGACTCTTAAGAGTTGTTCTCTCTTTGAAATTGATTATTTATTTCATAAACCTATTATATTCATGGAATCAATTTTACTAATTATGAGATTGTTTTATGATATCTTTTGTTTTTATCATAAGTCAGTGCACTCAGTATATTTAGATTCTACTTTATGTTGTGTATGCTGTTTCCTTCAAAATGTTCTTTAGGAAAAAAAATATTTGAGCAGCAGAAACAGGCTGTTCTAGAACATCCTTTCCTTTAAAGACATGAGTTTCTCCAGCGTACAAAGTGATTGGATTCCAAATTGGTTAAATTGCTTCTTCTGTAACAGTTCAGTCACATGTTGTCTTGTTACAGTGGAACATGTGCTCTCATTTCAGAAGAGCCGTTCTGTGAAAAAGTTTTCTTTGGCCCACATAGCCAATCCCCGGATTTGTGGGTATTACCTCCTTTCTGTGTTACCAGTTTTTTTCATCATCATTATTGCTTCTGCTTCATCAGCTGTAACACAGTTTAGGGCAATCCTTTTAAAGAATGAGATGTTTTTCAAAATAGCCAAAACAGTTGGCTAGACAGAAAAGAGATATCAACAAAATTAGGTCAGTTGTTTGTGTGTTGCTCCCTGAACCACTTCAGAGACACACCATCTCACACATGTGTAAACTAACAGACATTAAGCAAGCATATCATCTGTGCATTCCAACACACATTTTTATCCTATTTTATTAAGGAAAGTAAATGATACGCAAAGTGACTTCATTCAGAGAATAGAGGACCAAAAGAACCAAATAAATGCTTGGTTTAGACCCTCTTTAGCAAGCCCTCTAGGTGTTTCTGATGCAAGTTAAAGGATGAAAAACACTCTGTAGCAACACAGAAGGAATAAGGCCCAGTACTTGCCCCTAAGCACTTCTCCTTGGTCTCAAGGAATTCCCAGCTGCTTCAAATTTGCATTTTAATTACCTAGCACAGTTTTATCATATATAAGCTTAGTTGATAATGATAATATTATTACTACTTAAGAGTGTAATGGTTTTTCATCTCTTCTTGAGCAGCCATTCAATGAAGTATTTACCAGAAAGTAGTAGTTAGTATCCATTACAGAAAGCCTTGTGAAGCTTATGAGTTGAGCTGCATTGTTGTTGCTTGTTACAACACACACACATAGAGAGAGAAAGAGAGAATTATAAAGTATAAAATCTTAAGGGACAAATATTTTCAATAAATAATTTTAAAGTGATTTTTGTGTTGTGTTTAAATTCTAGATAATATTATTAAGTTTATACTTGCTGTCTTCTCATGTTTATTAATACAGGTTGTTTACAGCTTTCTGACAACATAATTAATATACAATTAACTATATATATTTATAAAGCATCTAATTTGATAAATTTTGACACATATATACATAGCATCATAAAACAGTTTGTAGAGGGGCTTTCAGTTCTGATAGATTACAGGTATTCATTACTTGTGCATTTTCCCCCTTTCAACTCTGATTTTAAAATGGGACTGCAGAGAACACTTCCTGAGTAAAGTAACATGAGCTAAAATTTGTAAGATGAGTGGATACCTCCCCAAGTGAATACAAAGGGGAAGAGTTTTACAGAATGGAAATAAAGTCTGTCTCACCTAGACTTCTAGACTTCTCACCTCCAACATCTAGACTCATGGCTGTTGTAATTTATCATCACTTTGGGTTTTGAAATATTTACTCAACTCTTTGTTTCTTCTTATAATTCCAAATGAGATGAGCTTAACAGGGCAAGTGAAATAAGCAACACTGCTTCTGAGAGTAGCCATCCCTGCAGTTTGTTTCTTGCATTAGAGTAACTTGTTTAGCTTTGTCCATCAATCCACTCTGGAATTCATGTTTATATGCTGTGTGTATTATAGAGAACAGCATGAGGAAAATTATATTTTCACTTTTAAAGAATGAAATGTAATAACTTGCCTTTAATTTCCTTTTTACCTTCTTCTTCCCCTGAGCAAATTATTACCTCCCCAAATATTTATTTATCATTACTCCCATGTGTTAATACTGAGACTTTACTTTTTTTGTTCTCTCATTTGCGTTATTTCCTCCATTGCAGGTTGGCTTCATGAGTTGGGAAAGAGACTGGAATCTCCGTACTATGGCAACAATACCTTGGGGGGCCCGTCGATCCGAAGTGCCTATATTGCCGCGCTGTACTTCACGCTGAGCAGCCTCACCAGCGTGGGTTTTGGGAACGTCTCTGCTAATACAGATGCAGAAAAGATCTTCTCCATCTGCACCATGCTGATTGGTGGTAAGAGAGCATCTTCTTTTATACCAAGAAGAGGAACTATGCCTGCCTAACTATCACTGCCTGTTTGTTCCATCCTGAAATACAGTAGAGATAAGCTGAGTAACATTGGAAGATTCTGAAAGCACTAATTAGATAGTCTAGATGCAAAGCTGTAGTTGTCTCTGTGGTTCCATATAAAAAGAGACTTGAGAGATTAACACACTAGAGCGTGCATTTAAGAAGAATGAAGCAAGATTAACACATGGGGCTCCCCTTATGTAGAATCATTACTTCCTCCAGCTTACTGTTTTAGCCTGCAAAGGTAAGACGAAGTAAGAAGTGGCTATGTAGGCAAACTTATAATACACATTTGCCCTTCCCACTAGGATGTATACTCTGGACAGTGGCTTAGACCCTTTCCTAGATCCTAGACTTTTCCTAGATCCTCCAATTTACTTTTACATATGCCCTCTTTCTGGTCCACATTGTGCTTGAAACTATGGGTCAAGTCCGTTTCAGACTCTTCACTCAGTTTCTTCATTTTTCAAGTGATGTATTAGGCAAGATGCAACTGTGGTTCTTTCTATCTCTGATGTAATGTTATATGACCATAAATAACATAGAAATTGCTTTCTATAAAACAATGGTATTAGTAAGATCCAGCAGTACTTCTCCCAATAAAAAAACAAATTTAATTTAGATGGTCTTCGCACTTCTCTCCCTAGGCAACTCTTTTATAAGAGACTCAGTGAAAGAGGGTGGTTGATTTAGCAAATATCTATCCCCACTCCTGGAATGAAAGCCCCAAGTACACTTACTTTGGAAAGCTCAAAACATTAAAAAATTAGGAAATTTGCCCAAAACGCTCTCTAGAGAATTTTATGACAATCAAAAACAGGAATAAATATTTCTTATATGAACATAATGAAATAGTCTGCATTTTATACTTCTCTTCAAAGAAATCACATTTTTAAAGCATTAAGAATATTTTTAAAGCCAGTAAGTTCAATATTCAGTTAAACTAAGAGACAGCTATAATTCATAAATATACATAAAGTCTGCAAAACCTGGGACTGATAGATGGCAAACGCGAGGAGAGATGGGAAGATGTGACAAGAGGGTCTGGCATGTCAAATCTCAGAAAGCATCAGCAAAAATACACTTCCTAAGTGTGAGGTTCATAACCTAAAGTGCAAAAGCTATCACCCTCCTTTATTACAAGTAAGAGCAACAAGTGAGCAAGTTTAGTGGAGAAGTAGAGAAGGCTTAACTCACAAAGAATCACACAAACCATTTATATTTGCAGAGATCATGCTAACAACAGACAATAATTCAAAATATATTAATAAAGCTATTGCTGTTATTAAAGAAGACCACAAACAAAAACTAAGTATCTTAGAAAAGATATAACAAAAGAGATTAAAGATAAGATGAAGTATCTAAGCAAAGATATCAAAGAAAAAAGCAAAGCCATCTTATGCACAAAGATAAAATTGAAGGAAAAAAGGGAATAGACATTGCAAAGAATGCAATGAGTCATAAAGGATAAAAAGAAGGAAAGGAAAAGAAACTGAAGGGAAGGAAGAAAAAGCAGAGAGAAAAAACAAAAAGAGACAGAGGGAGGAGAGAGAGAGAGATCAAGGATGGAAGGCAGGCAGGCAAAAGAAAGAAAGAAAAAGAGTGAGTGACAAAGACAGAAAGAAACGAACTTAAAAAGAGTAGAGAAAACACTAACAGTAGAAAGCAGGCTAAGGAGAGCCAGTATATGTATATTGCTTATTAATACATACATAACTTTTAATAAGAATCAGCAAATTCAAAGGAAGACTTTTCACTATATAGCATTTTACATAATTTTTTAGAAAATGTTTGATAACATGAATTATTGCATGTAAAATTTTTAAGCAAGAAGAAGAAAACAAGCTAGATAGAGGCACAATAGAAAGGAAGGAAAATAGCAGGGTAGATTCAACCATTTATGTATTCAAATGTTGTATTAGTTCATTCTCACTCTGCTAATAAAGACATACCCAAGACTGGGCAATTTATAAAGAAAAAGAGATTTAATGGATTCATGGTTCCACGTGGCTGGGGAGGCCTCACAATCATGTCAGAAGGCAATGGAGGAGCACAGGCACATTTTACATGGCAGCAGGCAAGAGAGCACGTGCAGGGGAACTGCCCTTTATAAAACCATCAGATCTTGCGAGACTTATTTACTATCAGCAGAACAGCACAGGAAAAACCTGTCCCCATGATTCAATTACCTCCCACCAGGTCCCTCCCCACAACATGTGGGGATTATGGGAGCTACAATTCAAAATGAGATTTGGGTCCGGGACACAACCATATCAAATGTATAAGCAAATACTTACTGAATGTCTATTATATGACACCACCAATACAATAATAAATAGTGAACATGTATTAGTTGTTTTTATGTTCCATTCTCTGTTTTAAGTGTTCTAACACAATACCATAATTTTTAAAGCAAATCTATGGGGTTGGCACTATTATTATTTTTTCTTATAACAAATAGACTATTATACTATTTTCTCTGGACTCCAAACCCACCTTTATTTATTTTGCTTTGTAATGCTGGGGTTTGTACTCAGCAAAACTCATTCTTCTTCGCCAGTTGACCTCAGTTGCTTTTTCTTATAGGAGGAACCAAGGGAAGACTGGCAGGCAGGAGGAGGGGAGAAGGGACTACCTGCTGTGGTGCGCATGCTGTTCCCTCAGTGGACGCAGTCACCTCAGCAGCAGCAGATGGTTTCAGCCTTCATTCCAGAACCAAACTCACTGGGCCTCCTCAGACAATCCTGCATCAGTCAGGGGCGCCATCTTGTCCAAAGACAGAACCCTGGCTCACTGACACTCCTCACAACTCCTGCTCTGTGTTTCTATGTTCTGATAACTGCACTTCTTCCCTCTGTGTATCCAGCCCTAAGGGTTAAGCCTTCTGCATTTGCTATGTCCGTGTTACCTCTATTTTTCCTTTTTGTTTATTCAGCCTTCCAACCCCAGGAAAACCAATTCTCTATACTGAATTACTGCTGTTGAAATATTTAGTATAATTTCTTTCTTCTAAACTTCCAACTGATGCAGATTGATACTATCCACATTTTTCAGATGACAAATCTAAAGTATGGAGAATTAAAGTAACTTTCCAATGCCACACAACCAGTTCAACCAGTTAGTAAAGACGCAAGGTTTGAGCCCAGGTGAATACTTACTTCTCTCCTTAAATATGTAAAGGGAAACTTCACTGAACCATAAGGCTGCTGTGATGGAGTATTAGGAGATGTTGGAGTCTACCTGGATCAAGTAAGCGTTCTTTTTAGGCTAGAGTTCTGTTAATATTTTCTGCCCCACAATATTCCCCTCAAAACCTGTTTTAGCACGTCCTCTTAATGACCTTAAGTCAAGACATCACTTTGAGTTTTGAACTTTATAATAGGAGATGGCTCCTACAGGCTTCCTTGCATGAGAGAAGTGATATGAGTGTGTGGGTCTTAAGCAATTGGTCACCCAACATACAGTGAAATCAAAGAAGTATAAAAACAAACGTTCCCTCAAAGAGCTTGTGATCCAGTTCGGAGGAGATAGGCTGAAACATGTGGAAAGAGTTTTAACGATACCAGGCAGTAAATGCTAAGTGCCATGTCAGTTAGGAAGTTCAGAAGCAGTGAGAGTTTCTTGGAAAGACAGTGCCATGGCACAGTTGTTGAAGTAGCATGCTGGGGCTGCAGCAACTGTAGCAAGCTCTTGGCTGATGTAGAGCAGTGACAGCCTAGGGAGCAGAGAACAGGAATTCTCATTTTCTGAAGAGCTACAGTGTGCCAGGCCCTGTTGTGACTGTTTCATATCCAGCATTGTGACTTTTTATAATTTCTATTCTCTGTGATAGCCCATATTTCAGCCAAGCAAAATCACAAGCATTTTGCAGATAAACACAGTCCATACTTATTTAATATTTGCCCATGTTTCTTCTACTCCTGATGATAATTTTGGGAAATGCTCACAGCTTAATTCTACTAATTTGACATTTCAAAAAATCCGTAAGATAAATGAGCTTATTCTCTATTGATCCACTTACTGTATTGTGAGTAGTACTGAATCAAAAATTGTTAATGCACAAACTATTCCCTGCTGTTCTCTGTAGGTAGGTGCAACACTGATCACAAAGGCCAAAAGATACAGAAAATAATCTGATAATGTTACTTTGTTTCTTGTTTGCTGAATGTTTATTGAGCAAATGTCCTGGTGCAAAATCAGTGCCCACTGGTAAGTGGCATTAAAAAATTTAGGTGACCTGAGCAGCACTTAGCAAACTATTCATTTGAAAGTCAAATGGCATCTAAGTGACTTGAATTTATTAGTTAAAGCTTTTCATATTTGTGTTTGTGGGGAAATAATTTTATATTATTGTGAAAATTACACTGGCTAGGAAAAATGATGCCTGCATTTTAATATTTCCCAATTAACTAATTACTTGTAAAATGTTGAGAACTAATCATAAGAGCTCACACTATTGAGCACTTTGTTCATTTAATTCTTATAATACTGTGAGATAGAGATTATTAATACCCCAATTTAGACATAAGGCAGAAGAGATTTAGTGAGTTTAAATCCAGGACTCACTAAGACCTGGCAAACTTCTTCTAAAATATTCATTTTATTATGTACTATAAATTTATTTTATTTACTTAATTTTGATAAATATAAACAAATAATTTATTTTTAAAAAGAAGAACCTAAAATTTGTGTTACCATAGACTTAAGTCTAGGGTATCTCACTAGGAGTCCCCCACACAAGGCTGATGAAATTGCTAGTAGCAAGGATGCAATATACAAGAAAAATAAACAGTAGCAATATTAAATGAGAAAGGGGACTGGCAAAACTCCAGATAATTATCAAGGACAGAGATAATATTGCTCAGTGAGAAGAAACGGGTGAAAAAATGCTGAATAGATCCACCTGGGAGTCCTCTGGGAACCCATCAGAATTTCCACAGGAG